CGAACTCATACATAAGTTATAACTGATTTTTATTAATTATGACCCCAAAGGTATTTATACCAGACAGAAAGTCAGTACAGCAAAAGCATTAGTCATATGGCAATTAGGCCCAAATGGTATTGAAAGAACTAATACTTGCCATCAGCCATGATGGAGGTTTGACTAGTATGACGGGAACGTGATTAAGAAAAAGCTAGCTCTCAAGGGACTTGAAAGAGGGATCGCTGGCTGTTAAGGAGTTTCGAAAATAAGGCTAGCAGTTGATCATGTGCCAGTACAAATTAGGAAATCTCAATATATGCTTGGTCAAATGGCCACGTGAGAAATCGGCTCAAAACATAGCAAGCCGCCAGTTTCCCTTCAGTAATTGCACCAGTCTTTGAGTATACACATTTCCTAGGTTTATTCAAGCCATCCTGGCCGATGACTATTATTTTATGAAATATTTTTTTCCTTAAATCCCCTTCTAGCCACACTGGCTAGTGTCCAATGCCAAATCACTCCTTAATGCATCGTAATCAGTCTTATTCATTGAATACTTTAAGGCATATGAATTGCATGCAACTGGAACAAAATGAGATCTCTCTGTCTAGTAGCCATATTGCTCAAGACTTGGCGCATCATTGAGACGGTGATATAAGGTAGCAATCGGCCTGTGTCTCTTACTTTCAAATGAATCGCATTTGCAGGGAGACTTCGAAGAGCATACTCTTACTCGGTCTTCAGCCGTCTAAGATAGGTTTTCTTAGGCGTAGGGACGTTGATTGGGTAAATTTCTAGACTTTTTGCCGGCAACATCGCAGTCTAGGAATGCAAACAATCAACAATAAGATTGTGGAAAAAACAACAATGGAAGATGAATACGCTGTATGAAGTCATCCTGAAAACACGACGGTGGCGAAAACAGGGCCTAACTACGTATGAACAGTGAAAAGAGACCGTGACCTAGCCAAGGGTACATCTTTTTGGTCTGTATTTTGTTTCGGAATTGCATAGGCGATTCGAATGCATTCAGTTCGAAAATTTGACCTTGTTGTCAGGTGCTAGCAATTTAGAAACATCTATATTATTAGTCAATGAATAGTGAAGCAAATAACCTTAGGGTGAATTAAAATCCAATATAACAC